TGGCGCCGGCCGCAGCAGCAGGTCGAGGCCGCCGTCCAGGCGGATGGCATCGCACAGACCCTGGGCCACCTCGCGGCCCATGGCCGGCAGTAGCCAGGCCTCTTCCACCAGCTGGAAGACCTCAGCCAGGCCGGCACCCACCGCCCGAGCGCCGCCCGCCTGCTTCAGCGCCGAAAGTGCCTGCTGCAGTTCCGGCAGCGCGCGCTCCAGGGCGCTCTGCACCTCGGTGCCCACGCCAGGCGACACCTCGCGGGGCCCGCGGCCGCCCACAGCCCACCACGGGCCAGAGCCACTGCCTACATCCGGCCCCGGCACCGTCAGCCGCTCGGCGCCCGACCTTGGGGCCGACATGGCGAAGAAGCGGCACAGCTTGTAAGCGGAGAGGAGCAGCGTCAAGACCATGAGCGCAAGGCCGGAGGGGACATCACCGGAGTGGAGGGGCTGGGCCTGGAGGAGCGACCCAGACTGTGGGAAGAGAGGGGTCAGGGAGAGGAATGGACAGAAAGGTACCAGGCAAGCAGCGGCTAGAAGTTTGGAGGAGGCATAGGCGCAGCGGTTGGGGAAGAGGATGCGGGCCTAGATGCAGAGAGTAGGCGGGAGGCAGCAGGAAGGCGAGGGATGGATCCAGAAGCCGGAGGGTCTTGGAGGCGGCGGCCGGAACAAAGCTGGGCTGCAGCCCAGGCTCGGCTCTGCTGAGATGCTCCGCAGCAGCCACGCCCCTGACCAACAGCCGGCTGTCTAGCGAGACTCCTCCCCCGCCGCCTGCGAAGCCCCGCCCCAGCCGTCACCAGCCACGCCCACACACGACCCAGTCGCCTTCCCGTCCCCAGCGTCGAGGTGCGGGAAGCGGGAGAAGAGTGAGAAGACCGCGGCCAGCAGGAGGCGTGGCGGTGTAAAGCGTTAGACTCTCGCACAGCTGAACTTGGTACGAGTCTCTCTCTTTCTCTGATCAAACTAAAAAATTAATTAAATAATTGTTTAAAAACATTTAAAAAGAGAAGACTGTCTCCACACACACATGTGCTCCCTCCCCTGCTAACGGTTATGACAGTCACAGCGATGATTCCACACAACTCTTCAGTCCCTTTGTGTCTGTTTCTCAGAGAAGCTTCACTGGCTGACACAGTTGAGGCCGCCAGACAGGAGACTGGACAGTCTCACTCTCGCCTGAGTCCAGAACAGAAAGTCAGTTGAAAACTCAGGATTACCTTCTCCAGGTGGTGGGAGACTTCAGGTCTGTGGATGCCTGAAATTAGGCACAGAATCAAACGTCCTGTGCCAGTGGACATTTTCTGGGTTAGGGGAATCATACTTCTCCTAACAGTCTAAAAATATGTTGAATAAACCCACTCTTTTTAAAAGAAGAATTATTTAACTAATTATTATTATTATGGCTATTATTTCATTTGACCAGAGAGAGAGGGAATGTAAGAAAGCAAGCCGCCAGGTCTGGGACTCAATCTGTGGTTGGTCATGTGTGAGTCCAGCATCTTAATCACCATGACACCCGCAGGCCCCATAAACCCACTCTTAACTGATGGAAAGACTGAGAGTGGGGACCAGAGCACTCCAGGAGCAGTGAATTAGATGCATTCTCACTTTCTCTCTTTGACTCACTCTGTCCCTCTCTGATCAAATTGAGATAAAGTTAAATAAAATAATTCTTAAAAAAAGAAAAGAAAACCAGCTTGGGAAAATTGATGTGCCCCAAAGAACTGATAAATGAAATTTTGTGCTTTTATGATAAAAATAAAATCCCCGGAGTGCTCATCATCCCTCCTCACTCCCCACTCACTGCCCTACAGACACAGGGGCTGGATATGCACTCCGCCAGGGAAGTGCCTGATCAAACAAATTATGGATCAATAACCATGTACGGAGAATGCATTTGGGGCTACTCCAGGCCTCGGACATTTTGTTAGTTCTAGCTGTGTAATCTCCCAAACCCCACAAGGCAAGGTATTATTCCTTTCATTTTACCGAGAAGCAAACTAAGGCTCCGAGAGGTAAGGCAGTTTGCCCAGGGAGTGACAGCACAAGCCTTCTTTCTGGTCTCCAGACCCACCAGCGATGACCTGATGACCCTGACCTTGGCTGAGGTCCCATTTTCCAGCTCTCTGAGGCCCAGGGTTCTGGGAATGTGACCCTTTGCTGTGGCAGCTTCTGAATCTGGAACTAGGGGCCGGGCTGGAGGTCGGACAAACAGAGTGTCTCCGCCCCTCTGTCCCTTCCTCACCAGTGCAGAGAGCTCGGGGACTCAGAGCCCAGCTTGCTAGGCCCTCAGCTAGCGGCCCCATCATGGCCCTCCTGAGATCCCTTCTCACGCTGGTCCTGCTGGCGTGGGTTGTCCTGGCCGAACAAGGTGCAGAAGAGTGTTGGCAGCTGGGACAATGTAGGGTGGGCAAGGGTGGCCTGGGCCCGACTGTACCAACTGTCACCCCCTCCCCGTAGAATCGTGCAAAGGCCGCTGCACGGAGGGCTTCAGTGTGGACAAGAAGTGCCAGTGTGATGAGCTCTGCTCTTACTACCAGAGCTGCTGCTCCGACTACGTGGCTGAGTGTCAGCCCCAAGGTGCGTTCAGAGCCCGGGGGGTGGGGGTGGGCCCAGGGTCTGCCCTGCAGCTGGGCACTACCACTCACTCTCCTGCAGTGACTCGTGGGGATGTCTTCACTCTGCCGGAGGATGAGTATGGGGCCTTTGACTACCCTGAGACCAAGGACAACGCCAGTGTCCTGACACAGCCGGGGACCCCCACCCTGAACACTGACCTGCAGACTCTGCCTGAGGGCAATCCTGAGCAGGCGCCTGTTCTGAACCCCAAGGAAGAGCCCCGTGTGCCTGAGAAGGGGACCCAGGCGTCTGACAGGGAGGATCCAAGGCCCGAGACCACTGATTCAGAGAGCGAATACCCCACTGAGGAGGAGCTGTGCAGCGGGAAGCCCTTTGATGCCTTCACCGACCTCAAGAATGGCTCCCTCTTTGCCTTCCGAGGTGACTCCTGGGGAAGGACTGGGGACTGGGGGTCTACCTGGGAGCACCCCCCCCTCACACAGCCTCCCCTACTCCAGGGCAGTACTGCTATGAGCTAGATGAGAAGGCAGTGAGACCTGGGTACCCCAAGCTCATCCGAGACGTCTGGGGCATTGAGGGCCCCATCGATGCCGCCTTCACTCGCATCAACTGCCAGGGGAAGACCTACCTCTTCAAGGTGCAAGGCCAGGGTGGTGGGTTGGGGCAGAGGGCACCTGGGGAAGGGTTGAAGGCTGTTGTGCCCAAGACCAAGGTGGGCAGGAAGGCCGGATCCCGGGCCCTGCAGCACCCACCTGGGGCTCTGAGAGGACAGGGTGGTCGGAGGACAGTGGTCCCAGGCAGGAAGCCTGAAGCTGGGAGCAGCCCCCTCCTCACTCCGTCTCACCTCCCCTACCTCCCGCCACACAGGGCAGTCAGTACTGGCGCTTTGAGGATGGCATTCTGGACCCTGGTTACCCCCGAAACATCTCTGAAGGCTTCGGTGGCATCCCAGACGATGTGGATGCAGCCTTGGCTCTCCCTGCCCACAGCTACAGCGGCCGGGAGCGGGTCTACTTTTTCAAGGGTACTGGGGGGGTGGAGAGCAGGCGGTGGCACAGTCTCAGTTCCCTTCCGCACTTCACTGGGGACAGGCCTCAGTACACCCTCCCTCCTGCCACACACACACCCATCCCAGGCCAGGAGTCCTAACTTTAACAGCCCTGGGCTCTCGGCCTTGCTCAGGCCCGTCCCTCCTGATGCCTCCCGCCCGCTCCCCAGGGAAGCAGTACTGGGAGTACGAGTTCCAGCAGCAGCCCAGTCGGGAGGAGTGTGAGGGCAGCTCCCTGTCCACCGTATTTGAGCACTTCGCCCTGATGCAGCGGGCCAGCTGGGAGGACATCTTCGAGATTCTCTTCTGGGGCAGATCCTCTGGTAAGGAGGAAGGCCACGTCCTGCTTCTCCCTCAAGAGGGCGGGAATCCCCCCAGCAGGGGTAGGGCAGGGTTGATGGAGGGGGCTGTGGTTTGAAGCTATCGACCAAGAACTGTTTGCTCAGGCCAGACTTTGCTTTTGTTGACATTTGGGGGAGGCCTGGCTCTCCCTGGACCCCACACTTGGACTTTGTCTGGCACAGCCAAGGCCATGGCCAACGGAGGGAGGAGCCGTGGTCAGGGAACTGGGGAGGCTGAGGGAGGGGGAGACACCAGGATGCCGTGGAGGGAGAGCAGGGGAGGGGCAGGGCTCTGCCACCAGCTTGCTGTGTCCTGGACAGATAGACTCTAAAGGCCCTGCTGGAGGGCACAGAGCCTGAACCCCAGAGACTCCCCATAGACTCCCTATCCCCCTCTTCCCTGCCACAGGCGGTGTCAAAGAGCCCCAGTTGATCAGCCAGGACTGGCATGGTGTGCCCGGGCAAGTGGATGCAGCCATGGCTGGCCACATCTACATCTCAGGCTCAGTGCCCCAGTCCTCCTGGGCCAAGAAACAAAAGTCTAGGCGCCGCAGCCGCAAACGCTACCGCTCACGCCGTGGCCGTGGGCAAGCCCGCAGCCGCAGCCGCAGCCAGAACTCCCGCCGGCCATCCCGTTCAGCCTGGCTGTTCTGGTCCTCCAGCGAGGAGAGTGGGTTGGGAGCCTACAACTATGACGACTACGGCATGGACTTCCTTGTTCCAGCCACCTGTGAGCCCATCCAGAGTGTCTACTTCTTCTCTGGAGGTGAGAGCCCCTGCAACCCCTGAAGCTGGTCTAGTTGGGCCTTCCCTGTTGTCCCGGGTCCCCATGACCCCAACACAGCCTGTGGGTGGGGACTCGAGACAGCCAGGCCAGGAGTCCTTAGCTGCACTGCGGATGTCCACTTTTCCTCCTAAGAGAGAGGCCTGGTCGTCTCCGTCAGGGCAGGAGTGGGCGGGGCCAGGCCGGGTCTCACATACCCTCTCCTGTCCTCTCTTCCAGACAAGTACTACCGAGTCAACCTGCGCACGCGACGAGTGGACACGGTGACCCCTCCCTACCCACGCTCCATTGCCCAGTACTGGCTGGGCTGCCCGGCCCCTGGCCTCTAGTAGGCTCAGAGCCCACCTAGTGGACCTTCTTTAAGCTTCCTCCCCAGTCTCCTCCTCCCGGCCCAATAAAGGTCCCTTGGCCCTGAGTTTAATTCTGCTGTCCTGACTGGGGTGGGCAGGTGCCTGGTTGAGTAAAGGAGGGAAACTGGGCTGTCAGGATGGACTGGCAGTGGGAACAGAGAACAGCCTCACCGTGCCCAGCCCACGGCTCAGGCCTTCTCCATTGGCCAGAAGAAGCTGAGGGCTGGGAGGGCCTCGTGAGAACTATCTTTCCTCCAGAGCTAAGCAGGCACTTGAACTCCTCTGATGATGACAGAAATGACCAAGCCACTCCTCCCCTGGTAAGGTTTGCTTGCCCCTTGGAGTTGACTAGGGTCTTGGAGAAGAGAGAAGGGGCAAGAGCTGGTGGGGTCCAGCTCAGCTTTTCTGTGCACCCCAAGGCTGACATCCAGCTAGTTCAGCCTGCAGAGCACCTGGAGACCTGGTCACTGTGCTCCCCAAACCCACACTTTCTTTGAGGTCCCTGTCTTGGGTCTGGGGTAGAAGGCAGCAAAGACAAGAGACAGGGAAAGGACTGAAAGGAAATTCAAATGCACCCCCTTCTTTCAGCAAAGGGACCCCGCTGGGGGCCAGGTGGGAGCACACTGGTAACAGCGCTGTATGAGGCTGATGCCTCGTGGGAAAGTCCCGGGCACCTCCCTGAACACGCTGGGCAGCGCTGCCCATGCTCAGGCCTGGCTGAGGCGAGGTGGACTGTGCATGAAGACTGTTGGGGTGCTGGGGCTCTCTCTCTCTCTGTCCCTTTCCCAGAAGAAACAAACTTTACAAATACTTAAGTAGGGCTAGCTCCGTAGTCCAGTGGTTAAGGGAGCCGGCTGAATGTGGTCCAGACCCCAGCCCTAGCAGCTAGAAAGACACACTGTGGGGGTCGGGGTGTTGTGGTTAAAGTGCTGGACTCCCAGAGTCAACTGCGGTGCAGCCCCAGACCCAGCAGGCCTGAAAATCATGCCAGAGGCATATGCGTGCCCCAAATCCCAAGAGGAGAATGGAGAAAGGATTACAACATGGCTGCCGCCTACAGGAGGTGATTTCTCACTTTCCCTCTCCCTGTTCTTTCTCTTTCTTAGAAGACTTAGCACACATGCCCTCTGGAAAAAACCTAAAGGGGCCAGCAGGTGGCCTAGTGGTTAGGGTGCCAGACTCCCCCATGGCTGACTGTGGTTTGAGTTACAGACCCAGAGGCTTGAAAATCATGCCAGTCACATGTGCAAGCATGCCCCAAATCCAAGCTGGAGAACGGAGAAGGAGTTGCAGTGTGGCCAACCCCTCTAGGGGGATCTCTCACTTTCCCTCTCACCGTCTCTCCGCTGTGAGTGCACACATCCTATGGCAAAAACTTAAAGAAAGACACAATGGGGAAGAGGGTAGCCAGTGGTGTAGTGGCTAAGGCAACCAGATCTCAAATGGCCGATACATGGTTCAAGTCCTGAACTTGGCAGCTTAAAGAACACACTGGGCATGTGTGCCTGTGTCCCCAGAATCCCCAAAGGAAAATGGTGAAGGGATTATGGTGTCACCATCTCCCATGGGGGAGGTGCTTTCTCACTCTGCCCCCATCTCTCTCCAGTGAGCATACATGCCCTGTAATAAAACTGTTTTTTAAATAAATGAATAAAAATAAAACATGCTTGGCAAGTGTGCATGTGTGCACCCCAAAAATCTCCGAATGGAGAAGTGGAGATGGGATTGCAGTGTGACCACACTCCACTGGGGGGTATTTTCTCCTCCCTTTCTCTGTCTGTCTAGTGCACACACTATCTGGAAGCTAAAAATAAAAATAAATAGTAAGTAAGTAAATAAATAAATGAAAGTGGCCTAAAAAAACTTCTAAGGAAGAGAACACTATAAAAACAAACATCTTTCTTAAAACTCCTCAATTGCCCCTATGGAATCAGATTCCTGGGCTCCAGGAAGCCCATCTGGGCTCTCGAGGGGCCACAGAGAAAAGGTTAGATGCAAGCAAAGCTCTGAGGCCGAGCGGAGGGTGAGCGGGTGGTGACATCTGTTTCCCGGCCCTGCTGAGAGCAGGTGGCTCTGGCTCCTGTGCCGTCAGCCTGTCTTCTTTCCCATGCTGTCCAGCTTCACTAGCCCAGCCTCACTGTGGGCTAGGACTCCACCCATTCTCCCCAGAAGGCAGCCAGAACCAGGGCACTGAGAGCCTGGAGGGGCAGTGAAACCCTGGGAGCGCGGGAGAGATGGACCCCCTGGACTTCCTGGAAGGAGCCCTGGGACGATTTTCATGAAGTACAAGACTGTAGGCACAGAGTGCCAGAGTTTGAGGTCTGAGGGGAGAGGCTGGAACAAGCTTTCTTTGCAAAGCCCTGGTGGGGCAGCAGCCACAGAACCTGCCCCACCCAAACCCATGAGCCCTGGTGCTGGCCCTGGCCTTCCCCTCTCCTCAGTCTCTCTCTGTCTAGCTGGAGCTGGACTCTAAACCTCTCCCCTCCTGGAGGCGGGGCCAGCCTTCTGAGCAGGATAAAACCCCAAACAGCAGGGGCTGGTGTGGGCACAGCCCTGGCGTGGCCCTCTGCCTCCTCACCCTCTGCCAGCCCCATGGCCAGCTCTGTGGACTCACCTCCAGCAGGTGATCTGAGGGGAGAGGGTGGGCAGGGTGAGGATGGGAGGTTGGGTGTGATGGGGAAGGTTGCAGAGGGTGGGATGTAGGGGCTTCAGGGTCTGCCGAGGGCTTCAAGTCTGGGAGGGAGCTCCTGTAGGGAGTCTTGGTATCACCTTCACTCCGGTCCACAGGTTGTGCCAGTGGGCTGGGTTCCCATCGGAGAAAGCGGATCACCTTCAGCAGAGGGCAATTGCTGGAGCTGGAGCGGGTGTTTGCAGCACGGCCCTATCCTGACATCGGCACCCGTGAGCACCTGGCCCGGGTCACTTGCATTCCTGAGGCCAAGATACAGGTGAGCTGAGACTCCCTCTCGGGACAAAGGTATTCTCACAAAGCCAGCTTCTGGGCCTGACCCACACCCCTGCCCTCTGAGTGTCTGCCTTCAGTATCTCTTTTCCCTGTTTCTGGGGGGGGATGGGGTGCTGGAGAACCATAAATCCCTTCTTCCCTACCAGGTGTGGTTCCAGAACCGCCGGGCCAAGAGGATCAAGAACCGGAAGCCAGGAGGCTTGAGCCCCAGGCCTGAGCTCCCCCAGAGCTCCTGTTCTTTTCCAGAAACCCTCCAGGAGCCCTGGGAGCCCCCAACTCTGGGCCAGCAGCCTCCACTCTCCCCCAGCATACCTCAGCACGTCTCAGCCTGTGGACATGCCTCCTGCCCAGCTCCCAGCTTGGGTTCAGGACAAGGCTGCGCAGGAGTTAGAGCTGCAGCCCCATGGGGACTGGCTGGGACTTCAGAGGTCTACCTGTCTTTGGAGCAACCTACTCCCCCAATCTCACTGGGCAACCTGTCTGAGGTCATCTATGCCTCAGCCATCGTCACCAACGTGGACCACTGCTAATCTAGGTGTAGAACTTCTAAGATCCCTTCTCCAGCTCTTACAGCCCACTTGCCCCCTCCTTTCACACAAGGAGTTCTCTGTGGGAAGGGAATCCCTCCCTTCCACTGGCCTCTAGGCTGGCCTAAATCCAGCACGTTTGCAGTGGCTCAAGCCTAGCCCCTCCTGGGGCATATGCCCATCGTCTTGGCAGGGGTACCTCTTGGATGATGGAGGGGTCATGCTTTCCACCTCTTCTGCCAGGCCTGGTCCCCAGTTCTTCTCATCCCAGTTGGATGACCTGCTCCCTCTGCAGAGGCACCTGCCTGTCTCTCAGGGCCCTTCAGGTCACTGCCAAACTAAATGCTGAGTGAATCGCAAGCGTGCCACTCCTAATTTAGACTGCTGGAGACCCACCCTTCCCTGGTTCAGGCCGCTTGCCTGACCGCTTACCACCTGGACAAGATGATCAGAACCACGGATCTGAACAGGGAGGGATATTAAAGTGATAAAGTTGAAATAGAAGTCTGGGGCTTATATCGATTTCACTTCTGCAAAGATCAGATTGAGTGCCCTCTGACATGGGGCTGTGGAGGTAGCCTAACAGATCTGGGGGTGGGGGGAGGTATAGCAATACTGGGTTTTGGTATCACCGTCATCTGTAATACCAACTAATCTCCAAATAAAACTCAAACTCTGTACCTTAATCTGGATTGTTGTGTGCAGCAAATGAATGGGGACAAGGGCCATTTGCTTTGGAAATTTATCTCCATCACCTAATCCCTAAATAGGGCCAGGTTCCACAGATTCTGGGTGGGAGGTATTACCCAGGCTTCTGCTGGGATTAGTTAGACAGACAGTTAATTGAAGGGCTTAGGGCTCTGACTGACAGACCCTGGGGAGACGGGAGTCTCGGTTGGCACCCCCTGCTCCAGGATATGCTGGTTGCCTCCAGTTCTGGAGCTGCTTGACTTCAGAGAGGAAAGCACACGTTGGCCTGTGCTGGGTTCAAATCCCAGTGCTGTTATGGAAACATCTGTGGCAACTCTCTGAAATTCTATGTGCCTGAAAAGCAGGGAAGGTAATACTCGTTTCCTGTTTGCTTTAGGAATGAGGAATAATGAAGACAAAGGCTTCATATGGTATGCAACACATCACACTCAATAAATGTCAGTCCCCCTGCCATCCACGTACAGAAGGCCATGAGAAACTGGGAAGGTCCCAAATGCCTTGTTCCTCTGCCCTGCCAAGCACCCTCTGGCTCTGAGTGCTCGGTATGCTGAGACAGAGGAAGTGGCCAAAGGCAAAGAGCTCCCTGCCCTGTGCCCAGAACTGGAGAATAAGCCACTTGATTCTTGTTACTAACTGTGCCCTCATAGATGGAACCCACCTTGCAGTGGCTTTTTCCTCACTAGTCACTAGGCAGAAACCAGGTCTCTGACCTCTGTCCCCAGAGGTTGGCACATAGCACCGGCCTAGAAAGCAGCTCTTAGCAAGTGCTCAGTGACACAGAAGGCTGTTGGCTTGAAGAGCTGGCTAGGATCCAATGAGACCCCCACTGTTAATAAATATAGAGAGGAACAATGGAATGAGAGATCCCCTGGGGCCAGAATCTGTCTAAGGAGGTCTGCTCTTTATAATAACATCTGGAAACCTTCCAACTTCTACCCAGGTTCCTGAGGGACGTGCGAGTTCTGGAGATGTGGGTACTCTGGTCAAAGAGTGTACACAGGTAAGTTCAGCCGTAAACCTCCACAAAGCTTTAGTGTATTTTAACCCCACCTCAACAGTTTGGGTACTAGGAACACTGTGAAATGTCACCCACATCTTCTTCCAACTAACAAAACCCAGGAAGCACCGCAGAGGAAATATCTACTGAGCCAATGAGTGATCTGTAAGAGCAGAAAAGTGCTCTGGAACAAGACTATAGGAAGGCGCACAATGAACAGAATCTACCACTAGGGGCAGACTCTGAATGATTCTCTGAACTATGGAGATCTTTGCGCTTCCTGTTGTCATAGGAGTTTTTTTTTTAAGTGCCACAGGGCACGAGTACAAGAGAGAAAGAGAGAAAGAGAGAGAGGGAGGGAGGGAGGGGGAGGGAGAGAGAAAGAGAGAGAGAGAGAGAGAGAGGGAGGAGGACAGACAGAGAGAGAGAATGCGTAACAGCTCAATAGGCTGCAGTTCCTTCTACATTTCTCCATCCCTTCAGGATTCTGGGCATGCACATACATGTGCTTGGCATTTTTCAAGCTACTGGGATGAGATTCAACTCAGAGTATGTGGAATCTGGCTCACTTAATCACTGAACTACAGGGCTAGCTCCGTCACAGGATTTTTGAAATAAAAATACACTGGATACAATAAATACTGTATTTATTGAACAAATAACTAAGGCTCATAGCCTTTTAAGTGCCTTATACATCAACAAAACATTAATCTAAGTTCTTAGAAGTTTAACATCATACAGAAACTTCAGAACAACATAGGAGTCACTGGCTTTGTTTAACTGAGAAAAGATCACAGCTGGTCAAGGTATTTCTCTGTTTTGTCTTCTGGAAAAGGGGCCCAATGCCATTTTCCTTTTGCAAAAAGCTGTCCTGCCTCTGGTTCTATCATCTTGTATGAACTCATTTCCCTTTTTAAACTTTGTTAGAGGGTGTGTGTTCTCACCAGAAAGACAAGAGGAGGAGAAAGTACCCTCCACAGAGAGTGATCAGATCCACTTCTCTTACATTTCTGCTTCCTTCTGGGATTTTAGACATGCATGAGCATATGCCCAGTGTGTCTTCCAAGCCACTGGGTTCAAGTACAAGGCTCAAACCACACAGTTGATGAATCCTATGCAGGATCCAGCTCCCTTAACCACCAGGACATGGGCTGGTCTCTGTCTTTCTCCTACTTGATATCTTCTGGCCAGTTACTCTTCCAGCACAAACTGGAGAAAGAAAGGGGATCCTTTCTGCTTTCTTGGTGGCTTCTGAACTCAATTACAGGTCTGCATCAAAGATGATGTATGTACAAAGGATGGAACTTGATTCACGCACTTGGCAGAATGGTTTACTTCAAGGCAGAATGGTTTATTTCTGGAAAGGCCTGGATTCCATTTACTCCCAATGGAAAAACCCCAGTCCCAGGGCCCAGATGACTGGAGAATGCAGACAGGTGCCAGGTTTAGGAGAAGGTCAAACCTAGTTATTTCCATTTTAAAGATGTGTTGTCTGAATCTCTTCCACTAGGCCCTCTGGAAACTCAGAGGCTTCCCTGAAGGGAAAGCAGGAGGCCTGGTGTGGTCCTCTGACTAACTGGAGTTGGTCCTCTGACTAACAAAAAGTCTAGTAGGTTGACTGAGAGTCAGTGATTGGCAGTTGGGAGCCTTGAAACTCCAAAACCTTCTCCAGACTTTGATGATGAAGCACCAGTTACAGCTCTCCCAACTCGCCTTCCACAGCCCGCACCATAACATACAGCTCGGCCAGACCCACCACCGAGGCGACGATCAATGCAGCCAGCACCCGCTGGGGAGGGGGAGAACCAGGGTTAGAGGATGCAGACTAATACCCAGCTCTGCAGCCCTCAGCAGTTCTACAAAGGATGGGGAGCCCCTAATCCAGCTCCTAAGTTGGGGAAGAGAAGAAAAGAGAATCTAGCTTTCTTGGAGTTGTTACCCAACCCCATGACTTCTAGAAAGCTTAAATGCTCCTCTTGCCTACCGTGTAAATATTTGTTCAGTATCTAACCTGTGTAAGGACTTTCATGTATATCCTCCCTTTTCCAATAACAGCCCCCACCCATGGCATCTTGCCCTGCCTACTCACCGAGGCCATTTCTGTGAAGACATACTGGCTTCCAAGATAAGTGCAGACGAAGGCAGCTACTACCGTGACAATGAAGTTGAAGATGGTGACGACCAGAGCCTTCACTGACCTCACTTTGGAGAGGACCCCAGGGAAGAAAACTTTAGGTCGGCATTCTTCAGGAGGCCCTCTTTTTTTTTTTTGAGAGGTGTTTTTGCTATGGGGTGCATGCGCTCACCCACCAGAAAGACAGAGAGAGAGAGAGAGAGAGAGAGAGAAAGAGACAGAAAGACAGAAAGTGAGAAATCACCCCCCAGGGGGATGGCCATGCCGCAATCCCTTCTCCTCCATTCTCCTTTCGGGATCTTGGGCACGCATGCACACGCGCCAGCGTGAGTTTAAATCACCAGGTCTGGGACTCAAACCATGGTCAACTACATGGAAGTCCAGCGACATAGCTATTATGCCAACTGCTAGTCCCCAGGAGGCTCTCTTATCTCATGGCTGCCTTCCCCCATCAACTGGGTCCCCTTCAAATAGCAAGCCTGGATAGCCCAGCCTAAACCCAGAATGGTAGAGTGGGAAGAAGTGCCATGCCCATCCTCGGGAGAGGCTTTAGAAGCCTGGTTTCCTAAGACCTCACCCTGCTTTCCCAGGTCACTGAGAGTCCCACTGTGCCTTGGATCCTGAGGGAGAATAAAAAGCAAATGATTTTTAGAATGAAAACAGTTCAGGGGCAGCCCAGAGAGCACCCACTTGTCAGTCTAGGCTCAGCCCTGTCTATCTAACCCATTAACTCTGCCTTCTCTGTGGATTTTGTGTTTTGGTTTTGTCTAGGGTCAGTTCGACTGTTCTCTATACTATAGAGCAAACGTTTCAGAAACAGGAGATAGGCTCCCAGTACTCATCTACTCCTTTCCAGTTTCAGGAAGGAACACAGTAGGGTGCCTGTCAGAATAAAGGCTCCCAGGCTCATATCCACCTCTTCAAAAAAATTTTTTTTCTTTTATAGACTTTTGCCTTAGAGTGCGTGCACTCACCACAGAGAGACAGTGAGAAGGAAAGTGAGAAATCTCCCCCACGCCACAATCCCTTCTCCTCCATTTTCTTCCTGGGATCTTGCACACAAGCCCAGTTTAAGTTTCAAGCTGCTGGGTCCAAACCGCAGTCAGCCACGTGGAAGTCTAGCAATATAACCACTATGCTATCTGCTGGCTCCCCACCTCTCCAACGTTTAAGTATCAGTCATTACCTAAACCTAGCATCTCTGTGAGTGAGCTGGGAACTGTCTTTAGTTTGTATGCAGCACAGAGCTCCTATGGTCTCTGAACAGCATACAAATCACATTTCCATGTAGTTTCTTGGCCCTGTACCTCTTTTTAGTGCAGGATCCTGCTCTCTGAGGCTACTTGGTCCATGCATGGAAGACTCTTACCTGACAGGTGACATTGCGGGTGATCCGCTTATATTCCTCATTTGCCAGCTGTATCTTAATCTTCTCCAGCCGGGCAACTAGCTCTGGGTTCTGAAGCAGAAAAATCAAATGAGAAGAATGACGCTCCCAGCTTGTTAAGACAGTATACCATAATCTCTGGTTCTAGGGAGCAAGGCACTGCTGAGGGTGCCAGGAGACCCACATACCAGTTATAGCTCCATTGCTTTGAAAACTTTTTTTTTTTAATTTGAGAAGTTTTTGCTATAGGGCGTGTGTGTTCGCCAGAAAGACAGAGAGAGACAGAGAGATAGAAAGGGAGAAATCCCCCCCTGGGGGGTGTGGCCACACCGCAATCCCTTCTCCTCCATTCTCCTCTCAGGATTTTGGGCATGCATGCACATGTGCCCAGCGTGAGTTTAAGCCACTGGGTCCAGGACTCGAACCACGGTTGGCTACATGGGAGTTCAGCGACATAGCCATAACATTAACTGCTGGTCCCGGAAATTAGTTTTTTTTTAGAGAGAGATTTTTGCTATAAGGCATGTGCACTCGCTAGAGAGAGAGAGAAAGAGAGACAAATAGAAAGTGAGAAATCCTCCCCTACCCCCTGGGAGGATGGCCATGCTGTGATCCTTTCTTTTTCATTCTCCTCTCGGGATTTTGTGCGGTGTTTTGGGCCACCGGGTCCAGGACTTGAATAGTGGTCGACTATGTGGGAGTCCAGAGACATAACCATTAAGCTATCTGGTGGTCCTAGAAACTAGTTTTTTGAATCTCACCTTTCTAAGTTGTCAAATAAAGGAGGACAATAACTGGTTTACCAACCCCAGAGCCCAAAGATTTAAAAGATAAATTTCTGAGGCCAAAAATTGACTCATAAATTTGACGTATTATGAGTAAGACTAATTTAACTAATACCCACTCTCACAAATATATCCCTTACATACCCTAGGAGGCTTCACGACCTCTGGGAGGTAGATTTCACTGCCTTCGAGCAGCTCATGAAGGTATAGTGTGGAATCTGGGAAGAAAAGTTTTCCATAAACATGTGATCCATAAAGCTAAAGTTGAAGGATTATTCCGAGAAAAGTCTGGCTCTTCTTTCTACCAAATGAAAACATGGCCTCCCTATGTCAATCCATCTCCAGGATCATTTTCAACTGGAAAGACTCTAGGACAATTCTACATAAATATTTCTTAGTGCTGCACAGCTGACTTAACTGTCAACTCTCAATTACCCTGCCGATGTTACAGCCAACACATGCTGTTTACATTTGTCTTTGGGTCAGGTCTTTTCTGTGGTCATGATATATCTGCCCTGAAAAGTTAGAATATGTAAATGTTATTTTATTAATTTTAATTTTTTCAAATGTATCTTTGATTTTACATTTAATCACTGTATATCATTAGAATATACAAAATTAATTTTCCCAGTATGAATATACTGTATATTAATCCAGTTAAAGGTATTACCATACATTTTATCAACAGATAATTTTCCATTTTTGTGTCCCTTCAATGTTTTGCTTCTTTTTCACCTCGATTCCCTCCCTCTCACCCTCTCTCCACACTGTCTCCAGTATCCACAGTTGCTCTCCATGCTTTTATACTTTCCAGCTATATTAACGTTAAATACTCACAGGACACTGTCTTAGATGATCTCTTCCTAAGGTCTTTTTTAGTTCCACTAGTTGAGCAGTCTACCCTTTGCACTTTTGGCTAGGCTAAAAGACCTTACATGCCAGTACATCTTTGTCTTTCCCTTTAAAGATACAGTAACTGGCTGGGAAAAAAGAAATGATTCCTTCAAGGGAAGTTAGTGACAGTGCCAGGAATGGTACTCATATGCTACTTCCAATCTACATATTTCAACATCCTCTCATCATCATATCTCAAAAAAAAAAAAAAGACATCAGATCATCAGATTTCACTACCGCTGCTTTTGAGATGGAAAGAAACCCAGATTTCCAAACAGGACAAGCTCACAATGCTAAGCTATTTCCTAATGCAGGGAAAAAAGAGAGAGAGAGAGAGAGACTGACCCTGTAGAATGGTAATGAGTTAGAACCTGGGCTTCCTCGAGGGCCAGGTGGACCTAGATATGCCTGGAAATTAAGAGGAGGCTCCCAAGAGAGCAGACACGGCACAAATACATTTTGTCGTCCACGAGGAATTCCTATAGGAACTGAAAAAGGACGGGGTTCCTAAGGTTTACGAGGAGACTCTTGGATTGGCTAGACTAATGATCCTGTCGTGTCGAAGGAGAGTGACGATAAAAGACCTCACTCAGGAGGGAGTAGATCTGGAAATCAGGTGGTGACCCCGGGCTGGAGCTCACCTCTATCTCTCAGGTGCTGGTGCAGATCCCGGATAAGACGGAAAGAAACCAAGCGACGAGGGCCATTGGGGCTATTAACACCCGTGTGCTTCTTCTTCAGTGCGGCCTCAAGCTCCGCCCGTAGCTTCCGGGGCAGCTGCTCTCGCTCCAGTTCCCCGCCGGGGCCCAAAGCACGAACGAACCGCTCGCCCGCAAGCAAGGAAGACGCCATGTCTAGCCGACTCTTCGGTCAGGTGACCCCGAGCCGGAACTCCGACGCATCGTGCGCCGGAAGTTGCTCTGCACTCGTGGGGCGGGGCGAGGGAGAGCGGAGGCCCGAGGGGGCGGGGCCGCGGCGCGGGGCAGTGTGGGGCGGGGGCGGGGCCGCCCGGCCGCGGGGCGGGTCTTGTGTCAGAAGCGCGGCCGGC